TGGCCATGCAGATGCCTGCTGCCAACATGTCCATTGTCGCTAGCGCCTTCTCGAACGACGTGCGTCTGTATTTCCCCAGCGTCGACGCGTTCTTTGCCTACAAACCTCGTGACTTTATGGACAAACGAGACGCGACCATCGACGCATTCGAGAAAAACGACGGAGACGTCAACATGTTGGCGTGGAGTTTGCTGAATAATGCATTCCAACAACGAGTTGAGCCGAAATGCATGAATGGTACCTCGCGGAGTTGAGCCATGTGAAGAGTCAGGCGACAATCCTTGGACACCGCTTGCGAGGCCCGAGTCCGTAACGTCGCCAGCGGGAGTGTAAGAGCGCTGGGAAGTGCGACCACAGCCGGACGTGAAGCAGTCGAACTCGGCTGAGAGAGAATCGATATAACCGGGAGCCTACTCGGCGAAGGAGCGGCCGGAATGGACTGAGCCGGAGCTGGATCAGGAGTCGACGGAAGCTGCCGATGCTTGTGGTGTCGGTGCGTCTTGTGATGCTTCTTGTGCTTCTTGTGCTTCTTGGATCGCTTCGACCGATGACCGGTAGGACTCGACGAGGCACGACGTTTGCGATGCTGCTGCTTCCCCGAAGCCGGCGCAGAGGCAGAACTCGTCCCGTCACCAGAATCCTTCGATGAAGGCCGCGAGGAGTGGCGATCACTCGGCGGCAAGGACTCATCGTTCATCTCGTCGTCAGAACCGAAGATCGCCGCATGAAGACTTCTCGCTTGGACAGAACGACGAGCATCTGCGGTCGCTGAGGCGGAACCTGAAGGACTGCCAGCCGAGTTCTCTGATAAGGAAATGGGATCCAAGAGCGACCCAGCGGCAGGATTCGTCGAGCCGGTGGACGGTACAGAACCATCACCAGGCCCTAGCACCTCGTCGTCAGACGCGTCGAGATCCTCAAGCAGCTGAGCAGTCACAGTGCGGGCGGTCGCAGCAGATCTCCGGATAGGGCGCCCAGATGGGGACGTCAACACGGCCGTGGTCACAGGGAGAGACGGTCTGAGGACACACACGGCCGGAGTCACTAAGTCAGTTGGCGTGGTGGATACGCTCAGACCCCGAAAGGGCGACTGGGAGCGTCCAGCCACCGTTAGCACGACGCTGAGTGGTGCGCTCGACTGGGGCAACCCAGCGGAGATGGGCGAAGTCGAGCCTGGGGCACACACGCTCGTAGCCGGGACAGGCAGTGAAGCCACGACATCGGATGAAGATATCGGCGGTGGGCGAATAGCCGCGACTGACGAAGTCACCGGAGGACCAGAAGACGAAGAACCCGCCGAAGTCGTCGAAGCAACTACAGGAACGGTGTCGGCGGGCGGCTCAGGCAACTCAAACACAAACTCAGCTTCGCTCGAAGCGTCATCGTCGTCTTCAGAGCGAGCAGAGACAGCGGGCTGAGTAGCAGAACTCAGCTGAAGGTGACGAACCTTCTTCCGCCGAGTCCGACGACGGGACTTTCCAGAGCGAGGCCTTCCTCCATCGGATACAGTAGCTTGAGGTGAACTTGAGTGCAAAAGGGTACTGATAGCCTCGTGTCCATCCTCGCCGGGGAGTGGACAAGCGTACGGGTTGAGGCGGATGCGGCGCCGGTGCACGATGACGAGGACCTGCAGCAGTGGGAGACTTGGGGTTGGCATAGCGCCGAAGCCGCTGAGTCGAGGTCAAGTTTGCCAAAGGCGTACGGTGAAGCTGAGCAAGAGTCGGCTCAGCCTGGGTTGTTACCGCCGCTGAGCTGACTGGAGCCGCAGCCGAGTCTGCCAATGAAGTCGCCGAAGAAGCTTGACTAGCTGAGGGAACCACACTAGGACCAATAATGGAACTCGCCACTGGAGCATCTCGGCGAGGATGGACAATCAACTCCAACCGCCGAGTTTCACCAGCGGGGATGTTGAGAACCTCAGGAAAGCGAGACTCCAAGACACGACACAGCCGGGCGTTGAGGAGAAGGTCGGACGGATCAAGCCCAGGAACTTGCAAGCCACCGCCAGCAGCAGCAGCCATGTGAGGATCGTGCATCGGAATAATACTATTCCGACGGATGAGCCGCTTCTGTCGCAAGATCACAGCCCGCTGCTCAGCGATCTCCGACTGAGCTTGCCGCAAGGGTTGAGTACCGGTGGAACTGTACAACCGCACCGACTCCTGCAGCTGTTCGAAGTGCTTGGAAGCAATGCTTTGAAGAGTGATGAACGCCGCATCCCTCTCAGAAATGGATCGGAGAAGGACGTCGATCTCGGCGTCCCGATCCAAGACTTGCTGATGGTGAAGCTGGGCCTGACCCAACGCAGCGTCAACCTTGCTCTGCTCAGCTGCGATGGCCCGAGCAAGTTTTGCCTCACTCAGAGCTACAGCCTTTCGCAGCGACGCGAGGAGATTAGCCGATTGCGTGGCAGCAGCCTCCAATCGAGACACTTGCTGTTGAGCCGACGAGAGCTGAGTTGACAAGTCGACATTGCTGAGAGCAAGCGAGTCCAGTCGCCGAGTCAGTGCGCGGTTCTCCTCCTGAGCAGCTTGATTGTCAGCTTGGAGATCGCCGATGATCTTTGGATGATCAGAGCGGCGTAGTTGCCTTTCAAGATATCCAACAGGTTCCCCGCGGAAGCAGCATGCAAAATCGGCTCGCCGCTGCACGGGATCGGAGGGCTCCACGGAAACGAGTAAATCCGTAAGCCATGAGCCTCGCCAAGAAGGTCAATTCTTCTCGGCGATCATGCCCTTGCTCGTTAATTCTGGCCATAAGGGAGTCAAGACTCACTGGAGCAGCCGAGCTTGGCTGATTGGTGGCGCCCGAAGTGGTGTCGCCCGGCAAGCTCGGTGGACCAGGAAGGCGCACGCGAGAAGACTCTGCCGACTCCGCGTCAGACTCATGGGAAGTTGTCAGGTCAACCAGCCCAGCTTCATGCCGGTCGCTGACCCCACGAGTACCGACGGGTCGAGGAATCGACTTAGCTGGCACGCCTTCACCTCGACGAGGAGTTGGAGAAGAAGGATGGTGCCACGGGTTGTGCTGGAACAACATGCGAAGAGTAAGGAGCTGCCAAGTGAGTGACAGCGGAAGCAACGAACGTACCAAAGAAGGTGGTGGGGAGCCGCGAGACGTCATCAGCCGAGTACGGACCAGCGGTGGCAGAACAAAATGAAGGATTAAGACACTCACCAGCTCGGCTCGTATCATAACCGGGGCAGTTGTGGTGTAGGGATTTCCAGATTCGAACATACGCCGACCTACTTTAGGTCAAGAATCGGCTCTGTCTGATAACCCAGAGCTTAGGAGCCAAGGATCACGGTAAGTACTCAACGATCTGTCCGGATATGCTATCCGGACAGCCGCTGAGCTCAACGGTCGCCGGAACTCAGCTGAAGGGTCGGTAGAGATCCGAAACGACTACATTTCATTAGATATTTGTATGAGAAGCATAGGATTAAATAGGGGGAGTCGAAAGGGCTCTCAGAAGATAAGAGAGCAGAATTTTCCTAGTCCAAGACACGTGTACACTTTTCTGGTAAGTCTCCTGCATAGGGCTGGATTATGCTCTGTCGTCAATACTCGAGAGGCATAGCTTGTAGGGTATTGACTGGTAGCGCTCAAGAGATTAGGTCGGTCTCGGGTAGGACAAAGTCTCGCTACGCGCGAAAGAAAGTTCTCGCATACTCAGCGGGCCGGTACGTCGGATAGCTCGGGTGCTCGTAACACTTTCTAGCTGAGCTGCCTCTGCGCTCGGTGACCTGTAAAAGCGCTCGCGCGCCGTCGTCCATCCTTTGGTGGAGGGCACAGGGTTGTGAACGAGCTCAGCCGAACCAAACTCGGCGGAGCCTCGGAAGTGATATGACTTGGTTAGTCGGAACCGGGTGGAAGCGAGCCACTCGTCTGTCCCGGAAGGGCCGGACCGCGAGGGGACCACCCTCTGCGCAGGCCATACAAACCGCCGACCTAACTCGGCGATTCGTTGTGGTTTGTGTAAGGAATCCACATCTGACGATATTTGTGTGTTCTACTACACCACAGCGCTCATAAGTGGAATATTTGCTGTGAGCGTTGATGGTACAGATAGCATAAATTTGCGTGTGTCCAAGTGAGCGAGTGTACTTTCCATCTACGGTGACGCGCATGCAGATAGGGGCGGCCAGCTTGCAAGGGTACACATAAGATACTATGTGCTCGATATTAAAAGAAATGCGCTACGCTCTGTAGGTGCGTCAACACTATTGGCTGTATCATTGTTAGCAAACCGTATTTGCGGCCCCAAGCCTCGCATAGTCCACCAATACACAAAATAAAAAGATAAGATAGGAAAGTGGGGGCTAAAAAAATTATTTCCCAATCACTTGCACGATTTCTGCTTCGTTTGCTCAAGGTACTTGGCGCTTCGGGTTGTCAGCTTGTGAGGGCAGCTACGCCTCTTTTTTTCTTGGGGTACCAGTCAGGAGCCATCGCCTTCTTGGCGATTGCCAGGCTTTCCTGGCTTCGCAACTTCGGCCGAATCAGGTGGTGGGGCTTTTCCTCCCAGAACTCAACCGCTTTCGGGCCGTTCTCGCAGGCAATACAGCGCCGCACGATGTCCCGCCTGCTGATTGTACGAAACGCGTAGCCGTACTGCAGCTTCCCACAGCAGACGCAGCGCGTCTGGGGATCCGTCGTAGACCGCTGCAGGTTCAGCAGAAGCGGGTCAATATTGGCCTTGCACGTGGGCCTCGCCATGTTGCAAGCTGTGAACAAACTAATTTAACTAAC